TTTGGGACACCAGTTTTAGCGCTTAGGCCCTAGTCTACTTGAATTTCTATTTTTAGGAATTTTCAAAACTCCCGCCTGAAACCTCCAAAGAATTCAATTGTTCTACTTAGTACAAAGTCCGCTGCAGCGCAAGAATAATAAGTAAGTCTTTAAGCATATTATTTTACATGCTTGTTTTGTTCTCTTTCTGTTCATAGACCTACACCGAGATGAAATTAATAATTTACTCACCTGTATAAATCGTAACCAGCGGCTAACTTCGACCCACGCGTTGGAGTGAAAGCTTTCTGTGTCAGTTTCGCAAACCTCAAAAATACTGAATCAAGAGGCATTGTACACAATCTTTTACTTTCTGGTTCTACAGAATCTAATTGAGCTTCAACTTCGACGGGCATTTTGTCTTGCGTTTCCCTTATTTTTTTGGCGGAATTTTAAAAGTACCGCGGGAAAATCCAGTCTACCTAATTTTCTATTTTATTACGCTAAAGGAAAAAGAAACACCAAAAAGTGTAAATAAAAGTTGAATTATAGGGGCGCATCATATATAATTTTGATTTGCAAATGTGTAATTTTCTTTAAAAGTGGCACTCTAGATGCATATATATAATGTTGTTAGTTTTTGGAAAATCTGCAATAGCTGTGAAAACATATACCGATAGTAGGCTAAAATATATGTTTTTTTAGTTTCTTCTATTTGGCCTTTTTCAACTTCAGTATTCCTACTTGTATACTGTATATAATCACCCCTAGGATATGTTGCCTGTTTTTATAAATTTGTCTTTTGACGTCTTGTCTGTGATATTCAAGCTCCCCTTTCAAAATTCCATTTTTAGTCCCGCCCATTGTTTTCTCGTTTAGGGCACTTGCATTCTTTCACTTGGGAAACATACGCCACTTTTCATAGAATGGTTATACTGTGTCACATTGAAAGTCCCGGATGTTTCTTTTTTTAAAGTTTGACCCTTTTCGTGTTTTAAATGTTGAATTCTGCTTAAAGTCGCATTATGCTCATATTTTTATAGTCAAGTTCAGCTGAATTGTCTTTATATTTCAAAAGTTTGACTGTTTAAATGGTGTTTGACCAACAGTTGAAATCAGCCAGACTGTCCCACTCTTTTATTATCATAACGCTTCATGTTAAATTCTAATGGATATTTACAGAAATTTTCTTGAATCCTTGGTTATTTATTGTTTATGCAATGTAAATTATTAAATTAAAAGGAATTATGGCAAAATAAAAACTTGTTTTGATTTTCACATATTCACACAATACCTATCATTGAATGGGCATAATGTCGCTTTAAGCTGGTGTTAGGGGGCGTGGACAGTAACTTGCACTGTCCAGTACCGTTCATGAATAGGCTCAATCAAACCGAGCCTGCAATATTTTCAATTTTGCCGAGTTGGGCTTTCTTTGGGGATTCTCTTTTTTATAGAAATCAGAAAAAAATCAATCTTTACAAATATATAAATTTCACAAATGGTTAAAATTAAAGCTCCAAAGCAAGTTATTGCAGGAAAATAATGTTTCCAATATTTTCCAAGCGACAATAACTAGTTTTTGGAGGATCGAACGCCTTATCATGTGTTATTTATTTGCCAAGCAAAAATTCTTATAAACATATTTCTATCACAGTGTATTAAATGCTAAATTCTATGTTTTGCCACTCAGGCTTTAGAATTAACACCGGGTATTTATTTTCTATTTGTGTGTGTTTGGGGGGGGGGGGGTATTACATACAAACACGTGTTTACCAGTGCTATCAATAGTATGTTTTATAAGTAACCATGGCTAGACAGTGTGAAGCCCGAAATATAAAATAGAAAAAAAGAAAGAAAGCAACTCAAATAAATTAGTTGTATAGGTAAACATATCGTTTATATGTCCATTATTTGTTAAGCCCCTTTTTGTATTAACAGTACCATGATTTTTAAAAACTGTGGCTTAATTAAGTCTTGCACTATTCAGTTGTTACAGCCTCCCACCGATAACAAGACAAGCCACCGCAAAAACACTTCTACCTGGAAACTCTGAACTTGTTAGGTTTCAAATTAAATTTAACACAAATATGTAGTTATATGTTTTTACTTTCTGTATAATTTATTTATTTAAGTTCCTTTTAGATGTTTGACTGAATTGTGTATATCTATAGACTATAATAAAATTTTCAGGAATTCATATAGCCTATTTGTTCAAAAAGATAATACCTTGAACGCATTTCACCTTCATAATAATAATAATAATAATAATAATAATAATAATAATAATAATAATAATAATAATTAATTAATTAATTAACCTTCAGGTCTGCCCTGCGTTGCTTTGTTTTGGCGCCAATTTCAGACACAAGATTTCAAGATTTATTGAATACTGTCATGGTTCATAAGAACATGTGACATAAAATACAAAATTGTGAACATGTAACAACCGGAACAAAGAAAAATATACATGAAAAATATGCATAAAATTAACAGAAGAATAAGTGACAGTTCTATTGTACCCATAAAATAAAATAAAATTATGACTATATTCTTTATAATAACCGAAATTTATGCTTCAATAACAAAATATCTAGGAGACTATTACTAATGATACAACATGATACTTATTATTTGCATGTTTTAATTGCTTCTTTTCAAAATAGAACATGGCTTTTAAATGTGATTTGTTTTTACTATTCATAAGATTTTCAAATTTCAATGGATAAGGATATATATAGTAATACGGTTTTATAAACTCACGTCTATTATTAACAAAATGTGAACAATTAAAGCGATAGTGAAATTGTCGCCCAGTTGGTTTGACTCATATAAAGTACATATACGTAAATTTCTCTCTATATTTATGAATCTACCTTTCTCAAATAACATTTTATGATTCATACATCTAAATTTTAACAACGCTGAAGACAGTTGTATTGTATTTTATTGTAAAACGCCATTGAATACATGTTTAATTGTAAATAATAGGCGTTTAACCAAATAAACCAGTTTCAGTTTCAGTTGCCAAGGAAGTATGTTAAAATAATCTTCGAATACAAACTCTGATTTATATAAACGGTAGTTTAAACATTTACTTAAAGATTGGACATCACTCTTCCAAATTTTGATTGTTACGTGCAAGGCGTAACTAGAGGGATAGGAAACCAAAACCGGCAATTTAACAAAATTTATTTATAGAAACAAATAAACAATTAAAAGAAATTAAGTCAACAGTACCATTAAAACTAATAAATCCAAATTGTCCCTCAGAATTAAAAATGCAAGACCTCGAATAGTTTATGACCCCAGAAAATGAAATTAATTTATGAGCACTTAGTCCAAATCCAAGAATGAATAAATTCCAGCATAAAAGTTTTTATTTAATAAATGGTGAAAGTTTCCAAAGATGTCTTATGAAAATCTCATTTTTATATGTACTATCTAGGAATGTTCATGAATAATCCAGATATAAGGCTTTTCCAAAAAGTATTCAACTATGATATCGTTTTCTTAAAATGACCAAAATGTATACAGCAAAATTTTCAAGAAATTTCTTAAATAATATTTAAGTTTCCAAAGTTTCTTCACTTTTCAGGAAGGTTCTTAAGCACAAAGTAAACAATTTGTTTATGTGCAATATCTGGAACAATCAGAAACTTTAAAAATCATCAATCAAATAGATTTTCTTAATCTTAACATCTTATATATACCAGAATGAACTGATCTCGAAGTTTGGACTTAGTAAGACGTTTCAAATTCAACGGAATATGTACAGATTGACCTAATAAATAATTTGATAAACCAAGTTAGCCCAAAGTATACTAAACAAAAGAAAGCCACATTAATTCAGTTTTATATCTAAAATATGCACAGTATGTAGTCTTATATAAAATATTACAAATATTATCATTTTTACCATTCAAAAGCTTACACCAGTTGTCAATAATTCTACTTTTTATTTGCAAAGATGCCGGAGTAACTCCAAATTCACCAAACAACATACAAAAAGAGTATTTTGCATGAGGTTATGTAAAATTTTGTAAAATTGAAGCTGAAACTGATCAATACACTTTGTATTTTCTATTCCCCAAACCTCAGAGCCATAACAAAGAAGAGGAACGATCATTCTATTTAACAAGTGGATCTGTAGATCTACAGATAGTAACACTTTTCTAGCTTTATCAGAGAGAACATAGCTTTCTTCACTTGGTCAATAAGACGTTTTCTAGTTTTAGCAAATTTACCATTTTCCATAAATTGAATACCTAGATAAGAAAAATCATGTACTAATTCTAAGTTCTCTTTATCAAAAGAAAATTGAAGTGCATCTTCAATACCATCCCTTCCCCTAGAAAATATTACAACCTTTGTTTTTGCAGATACGTTCATTTTTAAATTCCAAACATTATGTACAATATTTTAGCATAGAATTTAATGCAGTCTGAAGTTCATCTGCATTTTCTGCTTAAATTACAATATCATCAGCACAGGAGCATAAAGTGTTTATAAACACAACTAAATCCTCATTACTTAATAAACCCTTCTCATCATCAAGTGTATATAGACCAGCAAATTTTTCAGACATAAACTGTGCAAGATCATTTAGAAATAACGAAAACAACACAGTATGAAAGATTATCACCTTGTCTTATGCCAGCATTATCTGCAACAAAAATTTGAAGGCTTATTTTACCAGCTTTTACACATAACTTTGCTTTATCGTGCAAAATTTTCAAAAAATTACCACTTATATTATTTTTGAGAAGACCCCTTGATAAATAAAATTAACCAACATTTTCAGAGTGATTATTTGATGATTTGTACTATACTTATTTCTAAAACCAGCTCTTCACACAAAATATCATATGACTCTCGACCCTTGTTCGGACGGTTATTTAATACATTAGTAAAGAGTTTACCAAAACAATTTAATATAGAAATCTAGATATGCACCATCACCACAGGTCCTTTGTGGCCTTTAATGGTCATTCTTTAACGGATGCCAGTCTAAATTTCAACTTCCGGTAAAATGGCAGGTTGCAGATAGTTTCTGAAATGCCATTAATACTTATGTGCGGTTTTCCGTCCAGCGGGAAGTCAAAAAGGGCAAACGAACTTGACAAGTACTTTTCTAATGATTGTCAAAAGAAAGTGACTGTTATTAGTGATCACACGATAGGTGTCAATCGAAATGAAACTTACGACGGTGAGTGAGTAATTTTAAAAAAGTGGGTGGGGTGAGGTAAACAAAAGTGAAGCTTAGTAGATTGGCATCATCTTAGTTGACTTACATCACCTTTGTGACAAAATGGTTGACTCACCTTGAATTTTCATTGATTAATGTATCAGACGGGTAACAAAATGTAAAACAGTGTGGAAAAACTGCAGATTGGTCAAATAAATCTGTTGTTCATGAACTGTTAGTTTGAGTTTTTTAAATTATACTCTAACTCCGGCGGCACGAAATACCCAAATATACCCAAATGCACCCAAATATACCCAAATATAGCAATATTTATTTTTGTTTGGATAAAATATAGATTATAATGAGAAATAAATAAATATTTATTAAATATAATATGACTTAGCCTGCTATAATTTTCATTTATTCCGTTGAAATGGACAGTTACGATGTTGTAAGAAAATAAAGTTGTGACATTTGCTTATCTTAGTACTACATAGGTTCTTTATGAATGTACTTGCAATTTTAAATCAAAATATGATATTTGTTGTCTACACTTACATTTTTAAGGTGTAATTTTGTTGAAATTTCATATCATATACAAGTGTCCATGTTATTTAAAGGAATAGGAATGGATGGATTGATGTCTGTCTAATATATATATTCATCATTTAAAAAGAGGTACCATGACAGTTTTTCTGTTGACATCAACCCTATAAGTGAGAAATTCGTGTTTTAACACACTACTTTTTACTTGAGAAATAAGTTCATGGGCGCCGCCATTTTGGCGTTCTGTCATTCTCGCGAGACAGACGAGACCGAGATTGTGACGTGTTACACCCAACTTCCTGTTAGTTGTACACGCTGGTACAACTGAAATATATATCTTGGTGAAGAACTTATTAATCTTTATTGCGTACATTATATATTATTTATGAAAACATCATAATGGAACTGAATTGCTTTAATTAATTAATTGAAGACGCCGCGACAATTAATTATCATTTGTCCGATTTTCAAGCTTGATGATGATCCCACCACATGATTTAAGCAATGAACTGCTTAATTTTTCAAAGATAAACCATTAATTTAATTGGGGTACTATGAATTGACGATATACTCTTTTTTTTTGTACTTAATTTTCGCTAGACAAGCTGTCCGAATAGGGTACATCGCCGGTCATGTATCTTTTTTTCAGATTAAAATATCAACTAATCAATATGCAAAAAGATTCTACTGAGGACGTGATTTTTTCCGCCATTGACACTAAAAATGAGAATGGTGAGAAATGGCGCAGGAAAATCGGCAGCCAGAGATAATATCGTAAGAAAACAAAACTTGCCCCGTTAGGTTATTTTAGGCACCAGTCAAAACTGGTACCCTAACAGCAAAAGATTGCCCATTCCCCTGTTATTACAATGTACGCAGTATTCTCGGGTTTATTTCCAGTTCCCTATAACATTTTTTCCACGCTTATCTACTTACCCAATTCCTTTCCCACACAGATTACGGCGTATTTACTGCTACTACCCCTTAGTAAATTTAATCCAATTAAAAAAAAAAAAAATTACATAAATCTACTTTCAATATTTAAAATGATAAGTTGGTTGCTTCTAAAAAAGTGCTCATGTTGCATTTTATGCATGCGCTGTCATTTACCAGCATAATTCGACGGTGTGGCACTTAATTTTCTCCCTGGGCTATTCAGGTCCACCGATCAAGCGTAAAAAAAATAGATGTCTATTTCGTCATTAGAATATTTTGACAAGGGTAATTAACCAATCAGGGGCAACATTGTGCATGATCAAAAGGTCTGTTCGGCACAGAGGCATACAAGGACAATAAAAATCGTCAGTACACAGTGTTGACAGGGAACAGTAGGTGCAAATAAGGAATCAAATTAAAATGGACAATGCACCAGTATTAGACATAAGTAGAAAGAACCAGCAGTTGTGTTTGAATAAATTATGCAAATTAGATTTTTGAGAGCCAATAAAAATGTTTTGCCTGCATTTCATATTAGGCTACGATTACGCCGGCAGCTCATACGTTGACAACATGTTAAAAATTTACTTTTCAAAAGAGTTACTTATATTTTTGAAATGTGACCATCAATTATAACATTGTTCACACCTTTTTAAATTTGAACAGTCAGAATCAACATGCAAAAAATTAATTACATTACTATTAAGAAACACGTTTTTAGTAGGATTTTTATAATAAGATAATTCGCCGCTTCAATAATTAACAGCCAATTATTCGTTGGTGCGTTCGTTTATTTAATTGCATTTTTTTATTGTGAAATTTTGTTAAATAATAACATGTGTATTTATTAAATCTGTGAAATATTGTTTAATTACATTAAGATGAGACTTCAATGAACAAAGCATTGTTTGGAGTAACGGGCATCACTGGCCTGAAGTGCAGTGGTGCGACGGGTATAGACGTTGATTTTTTTTGTTTCTTTATTTATTCATTTTTGTTATGATATTGTTACGTATTTTGAACCATAAAAAAATATCCTCTCTACCTTCTGTGAAAATTTAATTGTCTAATCAATACTTTATTATATTAATATTTCCTTATGTTCAACTAGATTTATCATAAAACTAAAGATGTGGGGAAATGACATCACGCGCACCTGTTTTTATACGGCCAATACACAAACATGGCCGCGCTTACTGATTTTGTAGAAATCGATGATTTATTGATTTAAATTTTGTTATCATTCGTTTAATATTATTATTTGGCGGCAGAAAATTTGCAGATTTATTATTTATAGTATACTTTTTCTGAAATCAAGTTTTTATTCTAACCTTGTCTTTCCCTTTAAAAAAAAATAGCTTTAATGGTGTACATTTAGACTGTATTTTGGTTCAAAACACAATGATAGGGAAATGTATATTTGGGTGTGGTTGATTATATCTTAGTGAAAATGTATATTGTATTCATGATAAAAACAGCACTTTTTTAGGATAAAACATTTATTTTTAGTATAATTGGGCAATATTTGGGTATATTTAGGCAATATTTGGGTATATTTAGGCAATATTTTGGTATATTTGGGCAATATGTGGGTATATTTGGGTGTATTTGGATATATTTGGGTATTTCGTGCTGCCCCTCTAACTCTGTATTATCGGCGCAACTCTATTACCGACATACTCTCAGTATTTTGTCATGTGCAGTCATGCATACATTGAAATTAAAAATCTTTGACCTCATTCAATAAAAAATATTATGATTAATTTAGTTGAATTTGTACTGCTTTACACAGAATATTGATTATTAAATTCAGAAATCTTTGACCTTTTCCAGATTCCAAGAAAGAAAAGATTGTGAGAGGAAATTTGAAATCATCTGTACAAAGGTATAAAACATTCATATATTGTTAAGAGGATGGATTCAATTATGAATTGCTTGAAAGTTTTATTCAGTTACTATAAAAGTGGAGTCAATTATCAAATGAGTAATTAAGGGTTTGAGCCTCATACATGAATTTTTGACTGTTAATTTATCAAATTTAAATTGGTACTGGTTTATCATTTGAAATTTTAAAATTAAAGCAAACTTATTTTTCAATTTTGATTTTTCATTTAATGATTGCAAATACATATATTCTATGAAAAATTATTTTACAGGTGTTTGGATAAAGACAGCCAGCATCACTATTTTAGACTCTTGAATATATAAAAGTTGGTATAGAAACTGTAAAAAGTTTGAAGTGCCAAAATTCTGTTTTTGATGGCTTTGGCTATTCTTCAATTGTTCAGTTAATCATAAGGTCAATATTTGCGGGTGAAAGTTGATAAACAATATTGCACAAGCTCAAATACATGTAGGTACAGCGGGTACTTCCAATTTATTTTATCTTTGTAACTGGTTTTCATAATTTTTAATATTTTCATAATTATGACATAATAGTTTTAGCATATATCAATATATGAGTTATTTAGTTTAATTTATGAGTTAATTACCTATTATTGATAATATTATGATATAATTTTATTTTTTTATAAATTTTCTCTTTTAATTTCAGGTTTTCGATAATGAGTATATTGTGTTACAAAGGAGTCACAAACCACACAATGTTTGGTAAGTATACAGTTTTGAATCAGGGTGTCCATTTGACCCTTGAAATGACCCTTGATCCTTCAAATTTCCAAAGGCCTGATTTTTTGACCCTCAGGATTATTATACTTGAGGGTCAAATTTTGTTTAAAAAATCATGGGGATTTTCCCTTGTAGTCAGTTAAAAACTTAGTCAAAATGACCCTCAGGATTTCATGGCTAGTGAAAACACCCTTAATGAATACTAGGGGTCAGTGTCACGTTAATCCATTAAAACGGGTACAGTCAGTTTTTAGCCGAAAACTGGTTAGAAATTTCAAACTGCGATTAGTTTTTGACAAAGAGGTGAAAAAGTATTAAATTGATTCTAAATATTACCTTAGTGTTTTATAACAAGATAAAACAATTTCTTTGTATTTTAGTTTTACTCAACATTGTAATTTTTTCTGATATGCTGGAGTATGGTGCAAAGATAATGGAAAATAGTTACTACATGTATATAATTATTGGATATGTATTATTTTGAGTTCAACAAAATAAGAACAAAATGTCATATTCTGTCATAAAAAAACAAAGTCAATGTTTAAAATCTAAGGATTTTATTTGTACAGTCGTTTAAAACTTTTAATAAAAGTTTAACACGGTTATTAGGTCGCCATTTAAACGGATAGCATATTTTCTTACCGTGACATCCTTAATGAATATACTACCTGCTGTTTCCTTTATTGCCACAATTCTTATATGCCCTGTGATAGGTCAAGGTCACTTTATATTCTCAACATGTATGCATGTCAAGGTTGATGGTAAGAAACAGTCTGATTTTAATCAGTCAGAGTATTGTTTTTGTTGTTGTTGTTTTGATTAATACATTCCTCAAGTGGCAGTGGTAGTCAGTACTGGTTGAAATATTTTATAGAAATTTGATCCGAATAGACTGAATATCAGAAATTTTGGTGATACCAGTAACCAAAGAACTTTTAATCTCTTTAAACAAGGACAGTTGTCACAGTGTCACTGTGATTGGATTTCTCAGTCTTAAAAGAATATTTTTGGGGATGAAATTTTGATGTTCGAAATGAAATATATCTTTATGTTTACAGTAAACAATAATGATCAATCATTCCAAATATGGGAATAAAGCAAGGTCTGTGCAACTCTGCTGATCACTTCACTGGTATGATGTACAATACTGTTACACCACATGGAAATAATTATACTTTACAAACACTCTGTAACACAGAGTGAGTGTTAGGGTTTAAGTAACCGCCTCCGTGGTCGAGGGGTTAGAGTCGATGACTTCTAATCCAGTTACCTCTCTGGCGTGGGTTCGATCCCCGGGAGATGCTTTGGTAGTTTAGCACGGAGGAAGGTTGTCAAGTACTGGTGTAACTCTCCAGGAACGATGGTTAGGAAACTACCCGCCTATTTGACTGAAATACTGTTGGGAAAAGGCGTAAATGAAACAAGCAAACAAAACAAAACATTAGGGTTTAAGTTGTAGTGTTTTTAATTGATATATTTTAAAACAGTAAGACTGCTTGGTGTGAAAGGGTTGTAATTTCTTCTTTTTGTCATTAGAGTTAGTTACCCTTTGCACCAAGCCCTCGAAATTTATTATTCTGAGTCTGTATATTACATGTATGTCAAAAGTCCCACTATGTTAAGTTTTACATATACTCTGGACCACAGGGGTAGTATTCACATTTATACTTGATAAATACACTGTAACACAGAGCATTATGTTGTTTTTTTTTCTACAGATACACTGTAACATAGAGCTATATGTTTTCTGTTTTTTTCACAGATACACTATAACACAGAGTAATATATTTTCACAGATACACAGTAACACAGAGCGATGTTTTTTCACGTATACAATGTAACACAGAGCAATATGTATTTTCTTTTTTCACAGATACACTGTAACACAGATTCAGTAACAGCTTCACAATGGAATCTCCAAAGAGACCCATCAGAACAGTATTCTCAGGAAATGTAAGTTACGGTATATAAAAAAAGATAATAATTTATTATAATAGTTAAAATATTACAGTCAATGTAAGGCAATTTCATGCTGAAATGCCCTTTAACCTTGCAAGAATTTAGAAGTAAGAAAAGCCTTCATTATCCCTGTTATGTTTCAGTTATAAAAAAATAAAAACAAAAGAAGATAAGAGTTGCTGGATTAATGTTTTCTTTTGTCATTTTACAATGGTGGTGTTGGTGTTAATAGTTTTCACTCCGGATCACGGCAGTAAGCCACATTGAATTTACCAGAGCTCAGTTCAAGCCAACGCATCGTTCCTGGGCAGGCTGTCAGGCAGTTTACCAGTACTAGTTGCCTTCACTTTCGTAAGGGACTGAAACTTCTGTACATACCAGAGCAGAGGTACAGTAGAATGACGGTAGAAAAAGATTTCATGATCAATCATAACGAAAGTGACCTGCACTGTCTGGGAATTCAACCCAATTTTACCCAAATGTTAACATTAACTTATACATAGATCCGTAACCTGTCTAATTATAATTAATGGGTTACAGTAAAAATTTCACCACAACATATTTGGTAACAAAATAATACGTGCCAATGTTTGTTGGTAAATTTATTGTTATTCAAATTAAAGGTCAGAGTAGGGATCTATCAATTAAGTCTAACCAGGCTTAATTTTATTGGCTGCCTAACTGCATAAATTTTCATATAATAATTAATACTAAAAACTGATAATGAACATGTCCAAAAATGGACGTCGTACAAAGTCCATATTAGAAAATTCATTAGTTTATACAAATTTATTTTTTAGTTCCATTGTGTTGGAAGCTATAAGCATATTGAAACACTCTTAAATATGTTCCTGGAACCAAACAGTACTGATCAATGAATGTAAAGATTCATGCTCAAGGAAACAACGGCTTGCCCCGGATGGGGTTTGAACCCATGCGGCTAGCAATCCTAAGATTATTAGTCTGACACTTTAACCACTGGGCCACGCTGCCAAAATTCATAAGATGAAGAGGATAAGTGTATGTAAATATCCTAGCATCCTTTGTAATTCATTAGCTAAGCACACTATGACAGGACAATAAACTGCTCATTTTGATGGCACAAATTTGCAATTACCTGGTTTTGTTGGTTCAGAATCTTATTAAATTTCTGTCGACAGTTTTGATGGGCTAGTGATGAGATTTGAGGAACCGAATGGCTCTAACAGATGGGACTCTCCACTGTTTATTGTACAGAAAGACGATATATTACCATTAGAGGCGATATCCGATACATTACTGAAACGTAAACCCCCTCCACAAAATGCCTCAACTTTACCGGTAAGTCTGCTCATTCTTTAATTTTAAATCAGTTAGTTTGACTAAGTTAGTACCATCTACCAGTATCATTTTGAATTTACTAGATGTTATTGCTTTTGTTGGGTTTTATGTCACACCAACCCAGTGTCGGTACCATGGCAACTTTTCAGCTTTACTGGTGGAGGGAGGTCTCAGGTGTTTCCATCCCCCACACCATTCATTATCTGAGACATGAGCAGGCACCCCGAGTTGAATGTCCAAGACTTTTGTATGGTAGCTGGATTGCTTCCACATATATAGGAATCCAAATTCCTTGGCAGGTTTTTGAACTTACTGCGGTGATAGGCAAGTGGTTTGAGGTCCAAGACTGTTACCACTCAAACACAGAATCTTTTAGATAAATATATTTAAGATATATTGAAATTTGTACAACTAAATGGTTAAATTGTTTGCACTGATTTTATACATTTGAAGGAGTGTTTAGGACAATTGTCATGAATGGATGTCTTACCTATCTGAAAGATTATTTTTGACTGCTCTTAACAAATTTATATTCAGGCTTAAATTGCCCCAACTTTGCGGAGCTTATGTGATAAGGATAATTCTCAGTATAGTGTGTCGTAACCTGGCCTCTAGATTATAAATTTTTTTTCTGAGCTTTGTCTCAAATTTCAGGATTTTCATTGGTCATTGTACATTCTATGACAGTTTATGACCAATCATATACCCGAGATTTGAGTATGAGCCTGGAGAATTTCTTTATAGTCTCGGAGCCTGGAATTTGAGTACCTTTCTTAAGAAGTTTTTTGTATTTTTTGTTTACAGCAACCCCTCTCATCAACTAATTTCCTGTATGAATTAGACAGAGTTACCACAGAAATAGTACAAGTGATAATAGCTGCATTAAAGACATTTGTACCTGGAGACAAAATCAGTATACCTAGTTCTACAGATAAAGTATCCTTTTATATACAATGTTCTACATTTGCCGTTTATCTTTGGCATTTTGAAGAAAAAATGGGTTATCCAAGACCTACTGGTCATTTGTGTTGACATAACTGCTCATGGTATACATTGGAAACATCACACATAATCTTACAATGGTCATTGACACTGAAGAATAAATGAGCTGCGTCACGACAAAACCAACATTATTGGTTTGCGACCAGCGTGGATCCAGACCAGCCTGCGCATCCGCGCAGTCTGATCAGGATCCATGCTGTTCGCTATCAGTTTCTTTACTTGTTATTGGGTCTGTAAGCGAACAGTATGGCTCCTGATCAGACTGCTGGTTATTTGTAATGTTTGTGTTGACAATTACTCCTGGAATTCACCGGAAATTTAACACTGTAACACAAATCTTTACAGTGGTCATGGAAAACTGATAAAGGGTCAAAAACCAATAGATTTACTATGAATTGTTCCTTCGTTGTGAACGTCATGTGCAGCAGGGACGGCAAAATGTGATTATGACTTAGTCGTCTTATCTGAATCATTTATTAACTTGTCTGTATGATACTTATGAAGTAATTTCTGGAAAAATTTCACTTGCCCGTACAGGCTGTGAGACAACCTTGGTAATGCAGATATTAGGGATAATTGATTTTGCTTGATTCATTCTTGTATTATGAAGTTGTAAGATGAGTGTTGTCAGTCTTGCAGACTCCAGTCAAAACAGCAAAACTAGGTTGTTTTTCTTAGTGAATATCATGCAGTATTAGAGTTCTTTATTATGATTAACATCTGATTGTGTGGCAACAGCTACTATGTCTTCAAGTTTGTTATAAATTAAAATTTCATGGGAGTAGTTTGATAGGTCAAATATCATATCTATTTCTGTCTGTCTTTTTATTTTTGGAGGGAGTCGGAAAATTTTTAGCTTGACTTTTTCAAGGAAAAAAGTAGTTATTGCTACATTACCATAGTTGTTGCCATGAAAACTTTAAAGCTGCAGGCCTCCAGATAAGCCAATATATTTGAACAAAATTAAATTTAACCTTTTCCCTTATATAAGCGTGTTTCGACGGCTTTTTGCCCCCCCCCCCCTTTTGAGGCCTCAAACAGTGAAAAAATGTCCTATTTAGACCCCAAACACTGTTTTTCGTTTGAGAAATGTTGTTAAAAAAAGTGACCATTTTTTCGGCGCCGTCCCCCATCCAAATAATACATCAGGGGGTTGCCAGAAGGGGGATGTGCCCCCTTCTGTTTGGGGGGTTTGAAGGGGGGCGGAGTCCCCCTCATCGCCAAGAAAATTTTGGACTTGTGAGAGGCTTAAAATGACCCCAGGTTGATCATAAAGTAACGTGTAACCAACGCTGAAAAGCCTTTGACTCTATCTCAATCCATTGAGAAGTTGCAGCACTTTGAAATAAATTTTGATGGAAAAAATCGAGGCAAAAAAGTGATTTTTGGCAATTTTGAGATGTCCCCTCGTTGCCATGGTAACAGGAAATTTAAGACTGAGCATGTCGTTACAAAGGCAATGGTCCAGTCAACATTTGTGCCAAGTTTGATTAGTATTGAAGCATTTTTCATAGTTTCATAGCAGTTTGAACTTGTAACAGGAGGCTTTTCAGTTAAAATGGCCATTTTTCACAATATGCTCATGGGGGAAAGGGTTAACTAAAAAAATTATAAATGTTACAAAACAACAATTTTTCACCAAAATAAGGTAAAAGACCACATGTTAACATGGAAAAACTAGATTTTGGGTGATTCCAAGGTTTTTCATCATTTTTTGTTAACCTTTTCCCTTATATAAGCGTGTTTCGACGGCTTTTTGCCCCCCCCCCCCTTTTGAGGCCTCAAACAGTGAAAAAATGTCCTATTTAGACCCAAACACTGTTTTTCGTTTGAGAAATGTTGTTAAAAAAAAGTGACCATTTTTTCGGCGCCGTCCCCCATCCAAATAATACATCAGGGGGTTGCCAGAAGGGGGATGTGCCCCCTTCTGTTTGGGGGTTTGAAGGGGGGCGGAGTCCCCCTCATCGCCAAGAAAATTTTGGACTTGTGAGAGGCTTAAAATGACCCCAGGTTGATCATAAAGGTAACGTGTAACCAACGCTGAAAAGCCTTTGACTCTATCTCAATCCCTTGAGAAGTTGCAGCACTTTGAAATAAATTTTGATGGAAAAAATCGAGGCAAAAAAGTGATTTTTGGCAATTTTGAGATGTCCCCTCGTTGCCATGGTAACAGGAAATTTAAGACTGAGCATGTCGTTACAAAGGCAATGGTCCAGTCAACATTTGTGCCAAGTTTGATTAGTATTGAAGCATTTTTCATAGTTTCATAGCAGTTTGAACTTGTAAGAGGAGGCTTTTCAGTTAAAATGGCCATTTTTCACAATATGCTCATGGGGGAAAGGGTTAACTAAAAAAATTATAAATGTTACAAAACAACAATTTTTCACCAAAATTAGGTAAAAGACCACATGTTAACATGGAAAAACTAGATTTTGGGTGATTCCAAGGTTTTTCATCATTTTTTGTTAACCTTTTCCCTTATATAAGCGTGTTTCGACGGCTTTTTGCCCCCCCCCCCCCTTTTGAGGCCTCAAACAGTGAAAAAATGTCCTATTTAGACCCAAACACTGTTTTTCGTTTGAGAAATGTTGTTAAAAAAAGTGACCATTTTTTCGGCGCCGTCCCCCATCCAAATAATACATCAGGGGGTTGCCAGAAGGGGGATGTGCCCCCTTCTGTTTGGGGGGTTTGAAGGGGGGCGGAGTCCCCCTCATCGCCAAGAAAATTTTGGACTTGTGAGAGGCTTAAAATGACCCCAGGTTGATCATAAAGTAACGTGTAACCAACGCTGAAAAGCCTTTGACTCTATCTCAATCCATTGAGAAGTTGCAGCACTTTGAAATAAATTTTGATGGAAAAAATCGAGGCAAAAAAGTGATTTTTGGCAATTTTGAGATGTCCCCTCGTTGCCATGGTAACAGGAAATTTAAGACTGAGCATGTCGTTACAAAGGCAATGGTCCAGTCAACATTTGTGCCAAGTTTGATTAGTATTGAAGCATTTTTCATAGTTTCATAGCAGTTTGAACTTGTTAGAGGAGGCTTTTCAGTGAAAATGGCCATTTTTCACAATATGCTCATGGGGGAAAGGGTTAACTAAAAAAATTATAAATGTTACAAAACAACAATTTTTCACCAAAATTAGGTAAAAGACCACATGTTAACATGGAAAAAACTAGATTTTGGGTGATTCCAAGGTTTTTCATCATTTTTTGTTAACCTTTTCCCTTATACAAGCGTGTTTCGACGGCTTTTTGCCCCCCCCCCCCTTTTGAGGCCTCAAACAGTGAAAAAATGTCCTATTTAGACCCCAAACACTGTTTTTCGATTAAGAAATGTTGTTAAAAAAAGTGACCATTTTTTCGGCGCCGTCCCCCATCCAAATAATACATCAGGGGGTTGCCAGAAGGGGGATGTGCCCCCTTCTGTTTGGGGGGTTTGAAGGGGGGCGGAGTCCCCCTCATCGCCAAGAAAATTTTGGACTTGTGAGAGGCTTAAAATGACCCCAGGTTGATCATAAAGGTAACGTGTAACCAACGCTGAAAAGCCTTTGACTCTATCTCAATCCATTGAGAAGTTGCAGCACTTTGAAATAAATTTTGATGGAAAAAATCGAGGCAAAAAAGTGATTTTTGGCAATTTTGAGATGTCCCCTCGTTGCCATGGTAACAGGAAATTTAAGACTGAGCATGTCGTTACAAAGGCAATGGTCCAGTCAACATTTGTGCCAAGTTTGATTAGTATTGAAGCATTTTTCATAGTTTCATAGCAGTTTGAACTTGTAAGAGGAGGCTTTTCAGTGAAAATGGCCATTTTTCACAATATGCTCATGGGGGAAAGGGTTAACTAAAAAATTTATAAATGTTACAAAACAACAATTTTTCACCAAATTTATGTAAAAGACCACATGTTAACATGGAAAAACTAGATTTTGGGTGATTCCAAGGTTTTTCATCATTTTTTGTTAACCTTTTCCCTTATATAAGCGTGTTTCGACGGCTTTTTGCCCCCCCCCCCCCCCTTTTTGAGGCCTCAAACAGTGAAAAAATGTCCTATTTAGACCCAAAACACTGTTTTTCGTTTGAGAAATGTTGTTAAAAAAAGTGACCATTTTTTCGGCGCCGTCCCCCATCCAAATAATACATCAGGGGGTTGCCAGAAGGGGGATGTGCCCCCTTCTGTTTGGGGGGTTTGAAGGGGGGCGGAGTCCCCCTCATCGCCAAGAAAATTTTGGACTTGTGAGAGGCTTAAAATGACCCCAGGTTGATCATAAAGTAACGTGTAACCAACGCTGAAAAGCCTTTGACTCTATCTCAATCCCTTGAGAAGTTGCAGCACTTTGAAATAAATTTTGATGGAAAAAATCGAGGCAAAAAAGTGATTTTTGGCAATTTTGAGATGTCCCTTCGTTGCCATGGTAACAGGAAATTTAAGACTGAGCATGTCGTTACAAAGGCAATGGTCCAGTCAACATTTGTGCCAAGTTTGATTAGTATTGAAGCCTTTTTCATAGTTTCATAGCAGTTTGAACTTGTAAGAGGAGGCTTTTCAGAGAAAATGGCCATTTTTCACGATATGCTCATGGGGGAAAGGGTTAACTAAAAAAATATAAATGTTACAAAACAACAATTTTTCACCAAAATTAGGTAAAAGACCACATGTTAACATGGAAAAACTAGATTTTGGGTGATTCCAAAGTTTTTCATCATTTTTTGTTAACCTTTTCCCTTATATAAGCGTGTTTCGACGGCTTTTTGCCCCCCCCCCCCTTTTGAGGCCTCAAACAGTGAAAAAATGTCCTATTTAGACCCCAAACACTGTTTTTCGTTTGAGAAATGTTGTTAAAAAAAGTGACCATTTTTTCGGCGCCGTCCCCCATCCAAATAATACATCAGGGGGTTGCCAGAAGGGGGATGTGCCCCCTTCTGTTTGGGGGGTTTGAAGGGGGGCGGAGTCCCCCTCATCGCCAAGAAAATTTTGGACTTGTGAGAGGCTTAAAATGACCCCAGGTTGATCATAAAGTAACGTTTAACCAACGCTGAAAAGCCTTTGACTCTATCTCAATCCATTGAGAAGTTGCAGCACTTTGAAATAAATTTTGATGGAAAAAATCGAGGCAAAATAGTGATTTTTGGCAATTTTGAGATGTCCCCTCGTTGCCATGGTAACAGGAAATTTAAGACTGAGCATGTCGTTACAAAGGCAATGGTCCAGTCAACATTTGTGCCAAGTTTGATTAGTATTGAAGCATTTTTCATTGTTTCATAGCAGTTTGAACTTGTAAGAGGAGGCTTTTCAGTTAAAATGGCCATTTTTCACGATATGCTCATGGGGGAAAGGGTTAAGTAAAAAGTACTAAGACTTTAAGAAAAAGTAAAAAGATTCTAGATTCAAGTAATAATAAACATTTTTGTGTGATATTTTTTTCTGTAATTATCACCATAATAATATTTCTACTGCGTTTCTACACAGTGAGGGCTTTTTTTGCATGTTTTGGGCTTTTTTTTTTTTGGTAATGTACGTAGATTGTAAGAGCCATTTTAACTGTATAAACTCATGTCTTTGTTCACTTTACAGTATTTTTCAAAATTTTCATGAAAATTTGCATGAATCTAGAGGCATGCTGCTTTAACGTTGGTCATGTACTTTATTTTCCTTAACCAAAACCACAGTTAAATCTCTGCAGACCGTTTACACTGGCTGAACTTCAGCGAAGCAGACGACAGTTTATTACATATACTAAAATGCATCCTGTAGACGATATCTCGAAAATAGGAAATATGTTTGTGCAATATTTAAACAATACTTTAAAGTGACTGTGTCTGCATATTTTATTTTGTTTTTATAAAAAGTGAATAAAAATTGAAGCAATTTTAATTTGTATGTTTGATTTGACTGTTCAATCTTTGTTTCTATTTTTAGCCCGACTATAAAAAGAATAGGGAGAGCTTTTTTTCTCACCCTGGCTTTGGTGTTGGGGCAACACTTTGGTTAAGTTTTATATGTGCAAGTTGGTATCTCTAAAACTGCTGAAAGGAATGGGTTGAAACTTCACACATTTATTCTTTGTGATAATCTTACATAGTGGGTACAGGTTCAATAACTCTGAATTACCTTTTTAGAGTTACATCCTTTTCCTTACTGTCAAGCACTGAGAAGTCGAGCAAATTGTCTTACCGGCAGTTCTTGTCATTTACCATATTAATCAACTGCAATTTCTTGCATATAGGATGAAATTACCCCCCTTTTATTACTTGTATAATGTGTTTAAACCACTTTCCACCTTAAATTATATCTCTCATTCACCAAAGTGAAAAGGAAGCCCTAAAACAATATTTCAAGCTCATCTATTTAAATGTTACTTAAACTTTAAAGCTATGAACCTACTTGCCCCAGCATAACTCTTTGGTGCTATTTCATACCTCATTTATCACACAAATGGATTCCTTTCACACTTCACACATAATTCTTGGGATCCTAATTAAATTCTTTGTCCAAGACCTGTAACTCTAGCATGGATTTGTTACTGAATTATTCACCTTTATCATAAGAATAATGTATGTTCAGAGATATATTTACATACTTTTAAGGTAGAACTCATGGCTGAGTAAAACAAAAAACAAAAGTCTGCACAATATTCACATATTTATTGCAAAAAAATAAACTTTAGAATATATAACACAGATTATTGTATATACATACTAACAAAAGTGAGAAACAGTAATGATTATTACAGAAGAGTATGATTTTCATAAATGCAATCATATAGCACAAAAACACAAAAGTGGTCTGTCGGGTTAAAAGATTTGGGAATGTCCTCACAAAAGGGATACTATAGTGCCTACTATATTGTTCTTCCATTGATCTTTTAACTATAGGAAAGAGAAATTGTAGTCATCTAAAGAGAGTAAGCAGATTTACTGTAACATATTGCATCGATGTGCAGATCAAAGGACTTTTTACCACAGAAGGAAAAAAAAAATTCCCAAAAGTTCCCATCTTAACACATATGTGTTGAAAGAAGATGCAATTGTAATAAAAAAAAAAAATGCACACGTGATCTTCTATCAAAAACAATAGACAAAATCATCTTTGGACCATTTAACTTTACATTGTTATATTACTTAGAGCTGCCTGCCTCCAGATGAACCCAAAATATTTCAAGAAAATCAAACTTGAGAGAAAAATGTACTAAGATTTAAAGAAAATTATAAATTTATAATATTCCCAATTTAAGCAAAGATTTATATTTTTTGATTGTGCCATTAATGACTGATTTTGCAGGTTTTACCATCATATTTCTACTGCGTGACTGACTAACACATTAAGGGCTATTTTTGAATATTCTGAAATCTTTTTAGTAGTATATGTGGTTTGGTAGTGCCTTTGGAATGTGTAAATTACTTTTTTGTTCCTTTTACAATGTTTTACTTTAAAATAAATTTTCAGAATTTTTGTGAAAGTTAGAATGAATCTGGAGGCATGTAGCTTTAATGTTTTAATAACGTTTTAAATGTAGGTAAACCCTGTCTGACAATAGTCAGCACTGTCCGCTATACAGCCAGTACATATTTTGAAAATATCCCAAAATATGATAAATAGTTATGTTTAAATTTAAAGATGGACAAGTCACTTTAAGAAATTTAAGGATCATAAAGTCGCATATTAAGACACTTGTTTAGATAAATAACCTCATATAACTTAACAAATGACTGCTATTTAGGTTAAGAGTAACAGCCTGTAGCTTAGTCTTAATGGATAAAATCATACAAGAAGTTCGAGTATGAAAGTTTTGTGGTCCCTTTTTTTCAGATAATGGAAAAAGTGTACAAATAAATATTTCTCATTTACACAAGTTCATACTAACATAGTATACAGTTATTATACATAACTAAGCCTTCAGCCTTTTTAATGCTAGCTTTAAATGCTAGCTGCATTAAGGCTGACTAAACCACGAAGCTAAACCTGGCAGAATATCTGTGATGACAAGATTTTATTGCTGGCTGCCTTGTGATTAACAACAGCTCCTAATAAAGATACCCCGTAACTCGGCAAATGTGGGTTTTTCCCCCCATCTACTTCTAGGGTACAAACAACCTTTTCCACCAACAAGTTAGAAAATTATTGATAACAAATACAATGTATTTGATTACTCTATTGTGAATGGTAGAGCACAGTGAAGCTATAACCTTAAAGTAAGTGGCAATATATGTACATGCACTACCATCCAAGGGTATAAATGAACATTTTTTTTTAAACAGACTTCCTAGATCATAGGCTTGATCTACTTTCATATTATTTATCCAATACATTCTTCAATATCAACTGTTGGACAATCACTGTTATAACAGTAAATCCATATTTTTTTAAATATATAGTCTGTTCTCAGCTCAACTTGACAATGAAAGTATAAGCATAATGTCACTTTAAAAGTTTGACTGTACCCCCAAGAATTACATGAGAAAATCCCACCTTGGCCAAGTTCCTGTTGATATACACAGGGTCGACCGCAAAGCTGTTGTCAGTCCTTCCTTATTTCATACAAGTTACTGCAGTTTTGCAGTCAACCCTCAACATATTCAAAGCTGAACAAGTGCATTACAAAACAATATACAGTTATTTCATATGTGATTTGGGAACAGTTAAACTGTTGGCCTGAGGTGGAGGGGATAGTGTTTTGAACTGTTGCCGAATGCCGTAGACCAAGGGCAACAGTTCAAAACACTTTCCTCGACACATAGGGATAACTGGTAGACTGTTCCCAAATCACATATGAAATAGCTGTTGTATTACCTAATAAATTACTGTTTTAACAGTACTTGCAAAGAAAAAAGAAACAAGAAAATAGATTTTCAAATATGTTAATAATTAAACTTTCCGAATTTTAATAATCCTTTAACTATGTAATGTCATGTCTGGTTTATTATGCTCCAAGGAGGAATCCTCTATGACGACAATGCACATTAAGGAAACAGTTGAAACAATTGACCGATCAACAGTTTGCGAAAGTGGAAATTTTAGGAATTTCAGAAAACAGTAAAAAACACCAAATCACATTTATATAAGGTATCCGGTAATAATACAGGCTATTTCAGATGAGAAAAAGATTAATATCACAGTAAGTAATGACTATTTATAGTAACAGAATCATAGAAAGAAAATGTCTTCAAGAATTTTGCTCTCCTCTAACGATTCCTCCTCTTCACTCAGAAGCTTGTTTCCAAGACTGGTTTTCTGCTGAACTTGACTGGTTCTAGTATTGGCTTGATTTTTTCTTTGAGCTGGACTGGTGTACTGTCTGTACGGACTAGACTGGGCTCCTGAAGGGTATGATAAGAATAATCATATTATTGAATTAAACATTAATTCCAGCTGGATTATGAACAAAATTTTTCAGTCACTCACTATTATTTTATGAATGAATAAAAAAATTCACAAAAATAAAAACCCATTGAATTAAAGATGACATGTATATATTCAATATATTTGCATAAAATCTATGAGAAATGACTTTGCAGAACAAGTGTCCATTTAAAGAAATGTTATTGCACCCTATAAGGAGTAAGCTGAAACCATGATCTTTGTGTCATGAACATTGATTAGTGGGTATTGTCTTACGTAACACTGATTCTGTAAAGATTATATGACAGTTATCCAGCATTACTGGTGCAGATGAATTACAGAAGCTTGTCTTTATTATTTCAAGCATAAATGGTCAACTGAGTAAATCCACCTATGTTAGGTAAACTTAAGCTGGGAAGCTCACGGCATAAAAAAATTCCTAAATAACTAGGGAATGAAAGACGGACATCTCCAATTATTATATCTAAAGTGGCAAAAGATGAAGTAAAAGAACAAGATTTACCTTTGCCATGAGTGATGTATTTATTGGGTGTAAAGAGTTTATTTGGTCTGTTCTCAAGGTCGTCATAGCTAGAGGTTAAAGGTGGTTCCTCGTCCATAGAGTTGACAATCTCCAGTACATTCAACGTCTTCTCCCTGAAAAAAATATATACAGGGGTCTTCACAAATGTTACCATTTCTTAAAGCCTTGTTTTATATACATGTAACTCTGCATATTTTACAACATTTCTTTATCTTATGATTTGGTTAGATTTTAGGCAACATCCACACTGTTCAGGTCATATGGTGACTTTCAAGCTTTTACTGGTCAAGGAAAACTCCCTGTGTGCTCTTGTTTAAAACTACCAGGACAAGCCTTTACCGGAATAGAACCACTTATCTTCTTATACAGCTTATGTTAAGCTTCAACCTTATGCTATAATAATCACATGTTATTCTCATAAAATTGTAATTATCATGCTATGTTAAATTCATGTGTATACACAAAGTATTATTAATAAAATCAGCATTAGTAAGTAGTCCTCTAAAAAGTAAGTATCATTTGATAAAACTGCAAAATCAAGAAACAATGAACCAGGCCTTCCACACGAAAATCCTTGTTTAGGTGGTGTAAGTTTGTCAGTTGATCAGATACTCTAAATTACCATTTAATATGAAATAAGGCAAAGCCCATAAAGTCGTTAAAAACTCCATTTTTCCGTTTTAAAGGTATCATTCGTTATTTCATACACCACTTCAGTTTTCACCCGGAGCACTCGACGATTATTATTAATCCGAAAAGTTGAGATCTGTTCTGTAATCGGAATACCCCGCCTATTATCATTGAGTTACATTGTTAATGGCGGTGCCTAACTAGAACTGACACTGAAAATTTTATTGATATGTATAGAATTCTATATATTTTTCAATTGATTTTTATTTGATTTTCTTTTAAATATGCACGTATAGTCTATAGCTGGGCAAGCCAAAGCCCGGGTCCACTTTGCCTTCCCCGTATTAGCCTTAAACTGGTAGTGATTGAGCTTTTGCCATCATTATAGAGCCAGACGGGTCAACATATCTGTACAGTTTTATCAGACTCTAACTGTTTGTAGCTCAATTTTTGTATTTTCATATCAACATCCCTTAAGCAATGAATTATCTGTTCTAAATATAACGCAGGGTAAATTAATGTGAGGGTTTGTTTTGTTTGGTTTTACAATGTGCCAACACAATTTAGGTCATATAGCACCCAAACAGGAAAAATGATATCTGTTACAAACTCTTAAAGCAACACCAGGGCTCAAAACCACCTCACCAGCTAGGCTAAGAGATGCATAGACTCTAGTAATTTGAACCAATTTAGTCACCTCTTATGATCATACAGGGAATAACGATGGCTGCAATTCTCAAAGTGCGAGTAATAAAATTATTCTCCTTATGGTATAACTACGACTTACCCAGGTTTTCTTACATTGACCTCAGGCTCCATTTCCCTCCATTGTTTACCTGAAGGACTTGACCGCTGCCGATTACATCCTAGTGGTAGATTACCTTGTAAATGATTACTGGCATCTTTTAACGGAGTCCTTGAAATGAATTCAAATAGAAAAATATTAAATCAATGTCATGATTCGAATAAAATGGATGGTTATTTTAAGAGTTTGTAAAAATTTTAACAGTATTTTGTACATTTTAACCCTTTACCTGCTGTCAACAAGGCAACCAGCATAGACCTTTATCATACAGCACTTATGTGCTGTCAAATCATAATCTGCACTAGTTGCTATAAATTATTATTATTATACCTCATGTAAACTTTTTACTATATAGTCTAGCATAACATCACAAGGTGTTGTCTCAATCTATCATCCTGAAAATGAGTATCACCCAATCAATATATTTTTTTTTGCAATATTCCCCAGGGGCAAATAATCTATATAGATTTCTAGTTCTCTCCCCTGGCCCCAATCAATGATGAATGGCTCTCTGAGAAATAATGCAGAGCTCCAACCTTGGGTGTTTTTTTTCATTTCTCAGGTTGCTAATATGCACTATTGAGCTGAGAGACCTCCTTTTATTTTTATAAGAACATATTCAAAGAGCATACAGAAAAATTCTGTAAAGGAGATATAAAATGTATTTTTAACTAAAAAAAGTCGAGGAGGGCAATACCTGTATGATATACTGGTAGCCACGTCAACCAGTCGAGGGACGTCTGAATCTGCAGTGTCTACTGATCTTGATGGTGACGTTGCTGTGTTCACCTTGTTGCTACGTGGAGGTGTTGCTATGGGAGACGTTCCCATTGATACCCTACTCTTGACCTGAACTTCATCATCTAAAATGGCAAAATGAAATGTATATAAATAAGATCAAAACATAATTCATGTAAAAGATTTAAAACATTTATCTACCATAAGGCTTGAAAATAAATCTTTTATGTTTATTATTTAATAAAATGAAATTTAACAATTTGATAAAAATGTGCTTGTCTAGGTTCCAATGAAAAAGCAAAACATTGTGAACTTTTTAGTATCATGTTAACCAACCAAATGCCATAATTTTTCTGATAAACACAAAAATTCTGGTTTCACAAATGGCTGAATTTCAAAAAGAATTTTTTACAAATGGCTGAATTACAATGATTATTTTCACAAATGGCTAAATTTCAATGATTTTTATTTCACTAATGGCTAAATTAAAATGATTTTTTTTTACAAATGACAGAGTAACAATGATTTTTTTATGATTGGCTGAATTAAAATGATTATTTTCACAAATGGCTGAATTACAATGATTTTTTTTACAAATGACTGAATTCAAATGATTTCTATACAAACAGCTGAATTACAATGATTTTTTTTTACAAATTGCTGAATTTCAGAAAATGATCAAGATTACAAATATTTAAAGGTAAGCTTCAGCTTTACATTACATTCTTACACGATTTGCATTTTTCCCCATTGAACATAGAAGTACTGAAAATGTGTGTTATGCAATAAAATCACAGTTTGACATTCTATATGTGGCGTAATCATTATACACATGACATAACCACTAAAAATGTGACACCCTGAAAATAAGTACGGAAACAAATCAGGCGCAATTTAGCTTAATACCAGGTACTGCAGCACTAATTTGTTTATGTCCTGTTAGAATCGTAATAATATATCCAAATCGGTGATTTTATTGCTTGATAACATCACTGTTTGTCGTTTGTATGCGCATCATTATATCACTCATGCTACACCCTCGTGATATAATTCCCCGCATCCAAACTCCAAACAGTGATTTTATTGAGCGATAAAATCACTGTTTGGGATATATTATTTCTAAAATGAATGATGAATTAACAAAAGCTTGTAACTTCCTACACAATCAAACAAAAAATGGATGCTCCCATCAAAATTTACAGATAAAAGAGTGGTAAAAGAAAAAGTGCCGATGTGGCACTAACTAGGAATCAATAGGAACAAAAATGAAATTTTATACCCTTAGAACTGTAGACAAAACGCAACAATGTAAAGTTACAGTCACAACTTGAATAGAAATACAAAAAAGACCTACATCATATATAAAATTAAAGACATTAACATTGGAAACTCACCTACATGTATCGCATAATTCTGTTAAGATTATTTACCTTAGACGCAAAATTCCTAATGCATGCTAATATACTCAAACAACACAAAGTGTAACAACATATCAATATTAATGAAAATGGCATACCAACATATCCGTACGCTTAAAAACCAAAAGAAATCGCAAAAATTATTGACTATGTACATGCATGAGAATGTTTTAAGTTCATGCCTAAGAGAAAAAAGTTTCACAAAAGTTATGCGCATTCTGCATTCAATACTGAATAGGCTTGAATCTTTTCAGGATATACTTCAATCTCTAATTTTCTGCATTCAACAAGCTTCAGACTTTAATTTTGAAGAAATGTGTTGTCAGAATAAGCAATTGTATACCATACCATAACTGTTATAACTGCATTGTTCACAATAGAAAGACAGGGGTTTCATTATGACTTTAGCATACTGGAAGCAAATCCCCCAGCAATATGATATAGACCACCCAGCTTACAGTACTATATGTTACGATAAATTCTGGTTTGTACTTTTATATCCACCTACTCAAAACAAATGACCTAGCTTTTCCCAAGAGTTAACACTAACAGTGCTAAAACTTAGTTATCAACCTTTTCCTAAGTGCAATGATTTATCTTTTCATATGTATAATGAGTTTTCCGAAGTATAATGATAAACCTCTTCTAAAGTATAATGATTAACATTTTCCTTAGTAGATCATAATATAGTTATGATTAACCTTTTCCTAAGTACAATGATCAACCTTTTTTCAAGAATAGTGATTAACCAAGTTTAATGTTTAATCTTTTTCTAATTTTAACGGACAGGAGCGGTGGCCTTATGGCTGAGATGTCTACCTCTCAACCCAAGGATCATGGGTTTGAGCCCTAATCGGGTGACAACCATGTTTCTTCATATGACACCACTACTGGTTGGTTCCAGGAAGTGGACTCGAAAGTGATTAATATAATTTGCAAGAATTTGTTTTGCTATCAAGCTTAAATAAATATGTTTTGAATAAGGAAAAGTCCCCAAAACAGACGCTGGACAAGTCCATTTAGAACAGGTAATGAGATTATGAAACCCCTGTTTCTCTATAACTTCAGTTCTAATTTGTATAAAAAAGACATAGGTATGGCTAATATAAATTATAAGTTAGAAATAGTATTGTTTTATGCAATGAGTTATAAAAAATATGTTACCATGACAACCTGACTTTGACATGATGCTTCTTGTCCTTCTAATAACTTAAAACAAGTTAAATATATTTAATACAGCTTTCAACATTTTTAACAAAAGAAATTATTAGCATCCCTTCAAAAGTTTTTACAATGCAGTAATTAGATGTGAAAATGAAACCTATATAAAAATATGCAGTGAAATTGTGAATTTGTGATGACACTACTGTGACTATGTGATCTAAGTCAACACATTTAACAAAGATCTACCAATATAAGAACCAAAAGAAATCATGCTACGTCCCTACCTATATTAATTTCATTCCTTGGACTGTACATCTCTACTTCTGATGCCTGATCCCTCCTGACCAGCGCTTTCCCTGATGCCTTTCCTACGACGCTGTCATCATCATCATCCACATCATCAATATTTCCTCCTCTTTCACTTCCGTTATCGAATTCTAGTTTCAACGCAGGAAATTTTCCACCTTCTTTATAGAATTTCATCCTCTGCTCTTGGAGCTCTTTCCGTTTATCGTACTCGTATTTTCTTGTTTGTAACTGAAGTTCCTGTTTTTCCAGCACCAATCTCAATCTCTCTTGCTCGTCTAACAGAGCCTGACGCTGCTTTAACAGTTCGCGTTTCCTTCCACCAGGCGATAACTTTTTGTAATATTTACCATATTCCGGGTCACTGAATGCTTTAGTGGGTGATTTAATGTTTGGCGAATGTTTTTCGGCATCATCATCATATTCATCCTTCCCATTGAATACAACTCTATTTTTAGCACTGTCCGAACTTGCTGGTGATTGATCCCTAATGTAACCTCCTTTTGAATACTGATGACCTTTTGACCCCAATTCTTGATTTTTCAATGATGACCTTGACCTTATACTATCATTTTCATAATTCAAAGCTCTGATTTCCATAGATTTTTGAGTGCTTGAAGCTAAAGGTTCTTGCAATGGACCCGTCAGCTTCTGAGGGTAGGCAAATTTTGGTCTGCCTTCTGAAGGTGAAACACTGCGTGACCTTGAATAGTCTGATGCCCTTGACCCTCGACTTAATGACCTTTCTCTGGCAATTTCTTTGTCAATCAAAGAAGTGTAAGGTCTTTTTACTGTATCCATAGGATTTAACAACAAATCTGACACAGATTCGTCTGCTGATTCCTGATTGATCACATGATCATCAACAATGTTTCTATTGGTTAGATGTCTGTTGGCTGGTTCCCTAGACCTGGACTGTCTCCCAGCTCCTGGATAATCCTATTTTAATGTAGAAAAATATTTTCAGTTGAGTTTGCTTTGTTTTAGAAATATACAAGTTCAACTTTGGACAATATGATTTTTACCATTTATGAATTCAAATGAAAAATGAAAGAATACTATGAAAAATATGTAAAATATTAAAATAAAGTTTTATTAATGAATATATTTTAAATGAAATAAAATTCTCAACTAAAACTTCAGTTTAATTTGCAATAAACCATATTAATGTGGATGTATAACATACATAAGATTTTTTTCAAACACATAGCCTGGAACCCCGTTGTATCGATCTATTTACCCATAAATCACAACTGCAGTTAAAAAATTTAAATTTCCCTGAATCTTTATTTTGTATCATTTATTTTGATTCTTTTGTCATAAATATTACATGGCAAACATCACTGATATACAGTTTTTAGCTTTGGAATATACGATTATTTACAGACATGTCAAACAGGTTCAAAAATTAGGTTCACACCATTATATCGATGCATTGTGAAAATCTATCAGTTAGTCAAAGATTGGGAAGCCTGACCCATCTTTATGCTAGATTTTCGAGTCAATTAGAATCAAAGAAATAAGATGTCTGTTTTAAAATGTCAGCATAAATTTAGGAACTTTCAACAGACAGTTAATTAATGTCCTTTTAATAAGAACACACTATTTATAAGTCTATTTTTTATCTACAAAGTCTGACGCTACTGGAAACATGTTTTTGACCATTTTTACGGCACAAAACAAATGCGAAAGATTTTCGTGACACTGTTGTAAATGTTAGCAGTCAGTAGCTAGTGCATTTTCAAAAAAATCTAAAGATTTGTAAATAGATCAATACAATGAATAGCACGATACAATGGGGTTCCACTATACATGTAACAAATTGCTATCACATCATATTTAAATATTTGTTATGTCCCAACTTGTTTGTTTTTTTTTTTTTAAATCCATTAAAAACAATAAAATATGTAATAAAAGTCCCTAATACTTGGTATAATGACAGCTGGAAAAAAACCTAAAAACAATTATAAATCAAATTACAAACTCTTGTGTCTGCAAAATTTAGTACTTTTTTTTATTATATGTAACTGCAATTTTCACTACAAAATGCAGAGGATTTATATGATTTTATTATAGTCATATGTCTAATAAACACACATATAAACACTTGTTACGAAATATTATGGTTAAACGAGAACATACTAGTTTTTCAAATCAACAAATCCATTGATTATTGTCATTTTGATTGATATTTGTTTTAGTTCAATATCTTTACAGTTTCTTGGGCACTATAAGTCATGGCCAAATTCTAGTTTGATTTGAGGAAGATGGTCTCAGATGTTCATCAGTGCATAATTTTTAGGCACAAGTGAGCACCTAAGTATGGGTGGTGCATAATTCATTTTATTATTAGGTACAAGCAAGCATGTGAGTAGGGATGGTGCATAATTGTTAGGTACAACTGCAACACCAACATTAAGCTATTGCTGTTAACTTAGTGTTAGTGAATTCAAGTTAGCTGGTAACCGAACAACATGTTAGTGGCAACAGTAAACCTGTTTATTAATTGGGGACAGGATCCGATTAAGGAGTACGGGAGTCAAGCTGCGTTCATCCATCTCTGATAGGTCATACACGGGCGGACAAACTTCAATAACCCCTGCTGGGTTACTAATTGGTACAGAATCTATTGCTGTGGTTACAGGTATGGAGGAGGCAACAGTGACTTTTGGTTTAGGTGGAATAGCTTCAGATTTTGTAGTGCCAATTGCCTGAAGAATAGGAATCTGCAACTTTGACGGTTTTAAGAGAATATCAAGCAATTTAATAACCTCTTCAAGACATCATTATTTTGTACATAACAGTTGGTTTCACTATACAAGGAATATTTCAAACCGTATATCTTACCATATTTCATTTCATTTATCCTACCATATATCATAATTACATCTTACCATATTTCATACCATATATAATCCTACCATATTTCATACCATATATCCTACTACATATCATATATCATACTTTATAATACTGCATGTTTGTAACGTCGTTTTTCATTGGATAATCATGACGTTTATATAGTTTTATATACACAGCTGTTGTCGATTCATGAACAAATCTTACTTTTTTTCTAAAAACTGATATTTGCTGCATTATAAATTCGTTTATTCGTATATAAACGGCCGTTTGCAATATAACCCTCGCCTAGCGCCTTGGGTTATATTTACAAATAGCCGTTTATATAGGGCCATATAACCTGTCAACAATCTTTTATAACTAATAATATATCATATATCCTACCATACTTCATGCCGTATATCATGTATCCTACTATATATCATATCATGTATTATATCATATATCCTATATTATTACATCATACTATATATCCTGCCATATACTTCATTTCCATCTCTAAACTGCCCACTGTTTTGGAGTTTTGTAAACCAATGACAAGTGACATTAAATCCAAATACACTGTGACCTAGTGGCCAGGAAAAAACATATTAGCACAAACCTCTTTAATATCATGGATGGATGAGTTCAGCCTATCCTGTTTGTTTAACAACTGAGCTTGGTACTCTGTAAGCAACTTCTGGCAATTAAACAACTTTTCCTGAATGTCTGAAAAAATACAAAGTACACAACCTGATTAAAGTTATTTCTTGCATGATGATCTGATTGTCACCATATTTGTTTATTGTAATTCGAATTTCCTGAGAAAGCTATTTTTAGCCATGCAATCAAATGGTTCTTTACAGATTGGCATTAGACAAAAACTCAAAATATTTCTGTCCAAGTAAAACAAATTGTTGATTTTTGTTAGAAAAAAAAATGTCTAATGTAATTTAAAACAAATTAACTTGAAATACATGAAATAGATTCATTTTTTTATGGGCAAAATTGTTTTGCCAGTTTAACAGCCAGATATATGCACAATGTCATGTTTGTTGTCAAATTCATGAAAATAACCTACTCATTATTGGTTTTCTAGTGGTTAAAATTAGAAATATAATTTCAAAATTGTGAATGTTTGCTGATGATTGGCTGTTTGAAAGGTCACAAGGTGACCTCCTATTGGTGCCTGTCAGATCCTATTGCGAAGAATTAATCAGGAGCTGATTTTAATCAGATTGAGAAAGAACATAAACTGTCTCTTGAATTTGCCTCCAGATTTATGCTAATTTTCATAAAAAATTTGAAAATGTATTTGAATGTTTAATATTGTGAAATAACCAAAAGGAAGCAATTTACACATTATCAATGGCACTTACAACCCATGTTAATTACCAAGAAGTAGTCAAAATATGCATAAATAACCCTTACTGTGTTAGTAACGCAGTAGAAATATATATTTGTAAATACTGAACAATCAGTCATTAATCGCACATAACATGTCAAATATTATCTGAATCTTGAATCCTTTAACTTTTCCTTAAATCTTAGTACATATTACTCAAGCTTGATTTTATTGAAATGTTTTTACTCATGGGAGGCATGCAGCTTTAAGCAGATAAAAACTTTCCCAAAATGCAAAGGGAAAAATATCTTACCTTCTCTTTCCTGTAATATTTTCTCTTGCTGTTCCACCATGACCATCAACTGTCGCTCGTACTGTTCTCTCTCACCATGTAACTCTTTAACAACTTGTTCCTTCTCATCACCAACCCTATACAACAAAAATATCATTGATTTTTTTATACATTTTCATCTACTGTACATGTAGTTAAAATACCATTTAAGCACATTTTTTTATTTATTCAACTAAAATACCAATCAAAATTGTTATTCTGTACATTTTTTTATATAAAATCACTGCTTTTCCAACCTACCATGTGACTATATAACATTATCCTGAATTAGACATAATACAAAGAAGTGTCTGATGCAATATAGTATTTCCTATATTGGCCAGGATAGTGTCCAATGCAATAAAATATTTTCTATATTGGCCATAGTAGTGTCCAATAAATAAACTATTTTCTTTATGGGTCGGAATAGTGTTAAAAAAACAATAAAACATTTCCTAAATTGACCAGAGTACTGTCTTATACATTTAAATTCTTAATTTGACAGTTAAGTGTGCATGACTTCTTTCATGTATTACCAGAGAAAGAAGCCTTTAAAAAAAAATATTTGAACAAAGAAATCTTACAAGAATATAACTGACTGACATCACTTCCAATATAGTTTCCCAAAGACAAAACACTGTAAAGTTTTGCTACACTATAACTACTTTTATGGACCCAAACCCCATTTAACTATATTTATCATGTTACTGATCAAGTATACACAGTATTTATATTCATGTACAATGTCATATGAAACAAGGAACATCGCAATGCGATGCAACCAGGTTTTCAGCAAAATATTTCACAGAAGCTTTGTCATGAAGGGGCATTTGTTTTTAATTGAACTTTTAGGAGGAATTATGGCTTTTTTAATATTCCTCAAACAAAAATGATTGAGAAATTTTATGTTGTCTATTCGCCTTTTTTTCCCAAATTAGAAAGGTAAACAGTACTTTATTTTTGCTTAATTTTTGCATTTTTGCATCTCTTGTCATTTTCTTTTGTCAACAATATTGGCGTGTGGTGTTTTGTGTGATATCAAGAAAAGTATGTTCACAATTTTAAAAAAATACTTGAATGATGTCTTGGTAGAAACATGGGAATTTAGTGAGCGCCAGGGCACTTGATGACAAAGCTTCTGTGAAAGTTTGGTCAAAATCCATTGAGAAATGTAGGAGAAGTTGCGCACTGTACAAATTGTTCACTATATATTCTGTATAAGGAAAAAATATACAAAGGGCCATAATTCGGTCAAATATTATCCAATCACAAAACCCCGACAATATGTGCCAGGCACTTGATAACAAAGCTTCTAAGAAAGTTTGGTCAAAATCCGTTGAGAAATGTAGGAGGAGTTGAGCACAGAAGAAATTGTTCTCTATATATTCTGTATAAGGAAAAAATATACAAAGGGCCATAATTCGGTCAAATATTATCCAATCACAAAACCCCGACAATATGTGCCAGGCACTTGATAACAAAGCTTCTAAGAAAGTTTGGTCAAAATCCGTTGAGAAATGTAGGAGGAGTTGCGCACAGAAGAAATTGTTCACTATATATTCTATATAAGGAAAAAAAACAAAGGGCCATAATTAGGTCAAATATATACCAATTGCAAAACCCTGGCAATATGTGTCAGGGCACTTGATGACAAAGCTTCTGAGAAAGTTTGGTCAAAATCCGTTGAGAAATGTAGGAGGAGTTGCGCACAGAAGAAATTGTTCACTATATATTTTATATAAGGAAAAAAAACAAAGGGCCATAATTAGGTCAAATATTATCTAATCGCAAAACCCCGACAATATGTGCCAGGCACTTGATAACAAAGCTTCTAAGAAAGTTTGGTCAAAATCCGTTGAGAAATGTAGGAGGAGTTGCGCACAGAAGAAATTGTTCACTATATATTCTATATAAGGAAAAAAAACAAAGGGCCATAATTAGGTCAAATATATACCAATTGCAAAACCCTGGCAATATGTGTCAGGGCACTTGATGACAAAGCTTCTGAGAAAGTTTGGTCAAAATCCGTTGAGAAATGTAGGAGGAGTTGCGCACAGAAGAAATTGTTCACTATATATTTTATATAAGGAAAAAAAACAAAGGGCCATAATTAGGTCAAATATTATCTAATTGCAAAACCCCGACAATATGCGCCAGGGCACTTGATGACAAAGCTTCTGTGAAAGTTTGGTCAAAATCTGTTGAGAAATGTAGGAGGAGTTGCGCACAGAAGAAATTGTTTACGCCCGCCCGCCCGTCCGCCCGCCCGCCGACATACCTCAATCTAATAACCAGTTTTTTCCTTCGGAAAACCTGGTTAAATATAGGACTTTGTAAATTGGCTGTAAAATGAAATTCATCTTTACCTGGCCAGCTCCTTGATAAGGTTTGCCACTCTTTGTTTGTCCTCAGGGCGTAAATCTTTTAAAGAAGCTTTCTGTAATCTACGAATACTTTTCTCCGCAAAACTCTGCAATATATATATAATAAAATCCAATTAAATAAACTAAATGGATTCTCATACTGTTATGTGTATGGTTACAATGTTGTCATATAGTGCTAAAGAAATTACTTCAATTGCTTTGGATTATTTTTATTTGTCAATACCAATAAATCAAATTCCTTGTAAACTCATAGCTATTGTGAATTGATATATTTGTCCACAATATTGCGAATATCTATAAATATATCTATGAACATGATGATGATGCAAAGTCATACATAGTGGAATAAAGAAAATACACTCTTTGGATAAGAAATTATGTGAAAAATTGAGAACACAAATTTATCTAATGTTCTACAGTTACGTTTTCTTCAACTTATTACAGCAAGTAGTCTTATGTAACTGTGCGATCTGATCAGGTTTAATTTTGTATTTTGATATTGAAATCCATTAATATTTAAATGGTCTGTTCCTAAATAACACCAAAGCAATTTGTTTACAAAATTTCAGCAGGTAAACTTATAAGGGTAAACTTATATAAGGGTAAGCTAAAAGTTCACCTCAAATGTTGTTGACATGCCACTATCATCGCCATCTGACAACTTGCTTTTCTCCCGAGACGTAAAACTGCTGCCCGTCTTCAGGTTCCCCTTTAATGGCTTCTTTACTCTACCTGTTTATATATATACATTATATCATTTAATGTTGTGTAATGCTAAAATTAAATGCTATAAGAATTATTCCATATAAGAAGAAACAGTCATCTTGATTTTCACGCAATCTATGGGTGCAAGTTCAAAATCTCTGAATTGGTTTATTATATTAGTAAAAGAGTGTTTTTAACAGTATAAAAAATCTGAATTTCAGGTAGATGCCTGAAAACTTGTACCCATGTATTTATCTGCACACTAGGGCAATGAAAGCCCTATATTGCTCATGTTCACATTAGACCCATTGCAAGAAAAAGATATCAATTTTCCAAGCAAAGGGTCAATAGGTCACACGGGGGGATTTCCATTTTTTGGCAAAAGGGACCATGATTGATATTATTTTAGTAGAGATTTACTAGGCATTACATGACAAATATATAAGCTCTTGGCTACATGCAGTTTTAAACGATAAGTAAAGATAGTTACATGTTTTCCTTTATAAGTTTAATTTAAATAAAAGGATGAATAAATTATTTATCAAAAGCTGTGTTAACTATTACAGGTCAAGCAAAGTTGGTCATTTCTTAAAATACCTCCAATTTTTTTAACACTATATCATTCATATTGTGCTAAACTATAGTGTGTTAAGTTTTATACAATACATTATACATATGTACTTCAAGAAGTCAAAACATGTTTATTTTATATATATTTACAAGAAACTGTATAGCAATTAAAAATATTTTCTAAAATCACATTTGAGCATAGTATAGACCTTAGATAAAATTAGAATTTCAAGTTTTAAACAAATAACATCATGTAACCTGAAGGAGGTATATCACTGTGTGAGAAGTCGGGTCTGATATTCTCAATTACAGGCTGTTCAATTGGCACCTTGGCGTGAACCTCTTTTGGTTTCCTCCCTTTAACACGACCTGGTCTTTTATTACCAGGAGCAGATAACCCTGAGTGAAAAAAAGAGTAAAAAGTAAATTTTTTTTTTGTATTGGGTTTTACATCGCCCCAACACAGTATATGACGTATAAAGACTTTCCAGCTTTACTGGTGGATGAAGACATCAGGTGCCACCTTATTTTAGTCACGCATGGGCACCTGAGTAGAACCAAACGACGTTCCGTAAGCTAGCTGGCAGAAACAAGTCAGTTAACCCAGTAGGGAGGGCTGTTGAATGATAATGCCAGAATTCGACCAGACTGGCTTTTCAAAATCCTAATCAGGCTGAACATTTTTTACAACTTGTGGCACAAAGATAATACAAGAAACATGGCAATGCCATGAAACCAGGTTTTCAATTATCACCATTGTAGATAAATATGTTGTATTTGAAATACAAATACAAGCAACAAACAATGTAACTATGTGCAATGTAAAACATGAATAATGTAGGAGGAATTGCCACTGAAGAAGTGTTCACTATAATATTATGTATAAGGAAAAAAACAAAGGGCCATAATTAGGTCAAAAACTATCCAATCACAAAACCCCGACAATATGTGCCAGGGTGCTTGATGACAAAGCTTCTGTGAAAGTTTGAACAAAATCCGTTGAGAAATGTAGGACGAGTTCAGCACAGAAGAATTTGTTCACTATAATTATATTGATAATTCTGTATAATGAAAAACAAGTTACAAAGTAGACATGAAATAATATATCATATCTTTTTTAAATTACCTCCAAAGATGATATGACCTTTGACTGCCAAATCAAGTTAAAATCATGTAAACAGGATTTTCAATGTTAATGTCACTGTGACCTTGACCTTGGAGCCAGCCATGCGGAACATGCGTTCTGCACGTCATCTTGATGTGGTAAACATTTGTCTGAAGTTTCATCAAAATTCTTCAAAGGGTTGAAGAGTTACAGAGCGGACTATTATGTATAAGGAAAAAAACAAAGGGCCATAATTAGGTCAAAAACTATCCAATCACAAAACCCCGACAATATGTGCCAGGGTGCTTGATGACAAAGCTTCTGTGAAAGTTTGAACAAAATCCGTTGAGAAATGTAGGACGAGTTCAGCACAGAAGAATTTGTTCACTATAATTATATTGATAATTCTGTATAATGAAAAACAAGTTACAAAGTAGACATGAAATAATATATCATATCTTTTTTAAATTACCTCCAAAGATGATATGACCTTTGACTGCCAAATCAAGTTAAAATCATGTAAACAGGATTTTCAATGTTAATGTCACTGTGACCTTGACCTTGGAGCCAGCCATGCGGAACATGCGTTCTGCACGTCATCTTGATGTGGTAAACATTTGTCTGAAGTTTCATCAAAATTCTTCAAAGGGTTGAAGAGTTACAGAGCGGACAGGATTTTCAATGTTAATGTCACTGTGACCTTGACCTTGGAGCCAGCCATGCGGAACATGCGTTCTGCACGTCATCTTGATGTGGTAAACATTTGTCTGAAGTTTCATCAAAATTCTTCAAAGGGTTGAAGAGTTACAGAGCGGACAGGATTTTCAATGTTAATGTCACTGTGACCTTGACCTTGGAGCCAGCCATGCGGAACATGCGTTCTGCACGTCATCTTGATGTGGTAAACATTTGTCTGAAGTTTCATCAAAATTCTTCAAAGGGTTGAAGAGTTACAGAGCGGACACAATTTCGTTTGACGCCCGCCCGCCCATCCGCCCATCCGCCCATCCGCCCGCCATACCCCAATCTAATAACCAGGATTTTCAAAATTGAAAACCTGGTTAATAAAATATACTTTGCATTTTATTAAACCAACAATTAAGACATACGTATATTTGTATTTTAAAAATATATTATTTTTTTAAGATTACTACATTGTTATTAGTAGTAGACTAGGTAACTCTTGTAATACAGATATGAATTTTTATATCAAAGAAAATTACCTGGTATATATGCATCATCTTCACTTGAAGTCATACCTGTCAAAAAATATATATATATGTAATTTGTAACATGTGGCTTTTTGTGATCTGTGTGGGGCAGAAAACTAAAACAGAAGTATTTTCTTCCATAACTTTCCTAATATTTGTTGTATTTTTTTTTTCATGGGATAATATGTAGATCCCCACCCCCATTCAATCTAAATTTACATACATGACAGGACTTTTCTTTTCCTTTTATAGCAGGGGCCATTATAGGGATGCCTCCCCAAATAAAAAGTCTTTAAAACCATCCAGTTTTCCCCAAAAATTGAATTTACAACATCAGGTTTTTTCTTCACCTTTTGCAAATATACGTGTAATTTTCCCCAAAAATTAAGATGTGCATGAAATGCTTTTTCTATACAAAAACATCAAAATTTTTGAAACAGGGTGTAAGAACATTCAGAAATTCATGCAGTTTTACTTTACAAAACAAATACTCAGTTTTTTCTCATGAAACATTCTAACTATGGTTGAGCCGCCTCAACATCTTATTCCATGTATAATAATGGAAACTAGTCGAGTTGTTTGTCACAAAAACATAAATGTCTCCCAAAAGAAGGTATGGTACTTATCATTCAGACTGTGAAGTTTTGTTGAAATCAGGCTAAAAGTTTGGCCAGTGAAACTCTGTCAAGCTTAATGCGTAAGGACGGACAGACAATTTTAATGACTCTAAGTGTGAAAGAAAATTGCACAAGAATTTTATAGTGATACGCGTATTTGCAATTTACAGCATTGTTAAACAAATGTGTGTTATTCTGATAAGGTTTCACAAGTCTGATCTGAATCTTTAATACCCCAACAGATGAAAGAAATTAAAAATACAATGTTTAAAGCTGCATATAGATATACAGTATGGAAACCAGACCCATCTACCGGTCTGTACTGCTAGCCTAGCCAAAAGTTCTACAGGGCTCCAGATAAGATGCGTATACGCGTAAATTACGCATGGAAATAACCCGTTTACGCATTCAAAACAAAATTTAAGCGTATGAAAACGCACACAAAATTCAGGTTACGCATTGAGCAACATTTCTTTCGCGTAAACGTAACCGAAAGTAAACTCGGTGATTATTTTATTTTCAAAATTCGTCTGAACGCTTTGCAAGCGTCTACTGGTAACTTCCTGTATTTCCGACCATCATCGGTCGTTATCGTATGCATAGTATGGTGGTGGAATTAACTTCGTATGAATGCTTTGCAACGTCTAACGGTAACTTCCTGTAGTTCCGACTATCATCAGTTGTTAGCGTATGTATAGTAAGGTCGTGGAATTAACCGGTACAATGTCGCTGTCAAAAGTTAAAACGATTGACTCGTATTTTCAACCGAAAAAAAATCCACCCAAAAGTAATTGTGACGGTTATAATTAATGAAATAATAGCGCTGCCACATATGAGCAACAGAAACATGCCTCAGGTTCAGCTAAAACGTATGCCGTTTGGAAATGCAAGATTATAAACCAAGAGAGTCCAGAAAGCAAAAGAAATGACTTTTACATATCTTGTATTACACGTATAATAATACAATAAACATGGAAGCATAATAAATCTTTTACTCTTTTACATACATTTTAAGGAGTAAAAATACTCCTGTCAAATTTCAGATTTCAAGTTTTACTCATTCACAAAAAAATCAATGAGTAAATACTCATTGCCCTAAAAAATTATCTGGAGCCCTGGTTCTAGCTGTGAGTCATTTACATTTGGCCTTCAAAAAACACACATATATGTTAAGCACTGATGTATATCTGTGGTTGCAATCATTACCAATTACCAAAGTATTTTCAAATTCTATTAAGCAACAAGCCTGAACGTGAATTTTAGGAGGAAAATAAGAATTCCAGGAGTGTTTTCTTGATGAAAGCAGACTTTGTCATTACATTATATGTAATCATACATAGATAAAATGTTAATGAAGTTGTTTACAATATATCTCTATCAATATACTGTGTAAATTACCTATTTTAGACCAATATACATCGTCACTTTTTGGACGATTTGTTTTTGTTTTGTCCGCCATATCCGGTGTGTGTTTAACTTACAACTTGTAAAGTTTACTAATGTAAGGCTGAAACATACTAAATATTTGAAAGACCCTGTTGCATGTTGCGAAAAATTTAAAACAAAACAGTGACGCCAATGTGAATAAACGCGCATTATTTAAATAGTTTATTACTAGATTCATATAGTTATCTTCATTTATATTGAGAACTATACTATAGCTGCATATTGTTCTCGTATTTAAAGAATTTCGTTCAACTTTACAGTATAAATAATGCAAGGAAATAATGCAAATGGGAACAATAAAAATATCATGTTGTTAAATCTATTAAAAGCTATTACGTTAAACACATTTCCGGTGCGTCAATAAAAAAAATTGCAACTGTGTTTAAGATATATGATTAGGTCAACATTCTGTGCAGTATTTAACAGTAGATGTAGATAAAAGGAGTCACTCAAAATCACTATTAAATTATGACCGGGGAGTCAGTATTCTTTAAAAATATAATATTCTTTTTTATTTATAAATACAGTATTTCGTCACATTAGTGCAGTGACGGATTAACTCCTATTTAATTAAGTATAATTAATTTAATTCTAATAACTAAATTACACCTTCACTTATTTGATAAGCTGTAAGAATATACATGTTTATTGCAACGATGGTGGGAAGCATACTGTAAACAATACATTATATATGGAACGCCACAGCTGTATTTTAGTCACGCATTTCGTGGTAACTTGTCAGTGTGTTTACATGTCAAGACATAATGTTGACTTTTCCAAATTCCATTTGAATATGTCAATGTGTCACGTGCTTAGAACATGTGAACAAAAAACAGCTTCGGCGTTCCATAATTATACGCATGCTGGGACGGATGCTGAGAACCATAAATTGGACGCATGCTGATAATCATATTGTGGGATACATGCTGGGAACCATATTGTACACTAATTGATAATCATATTTAAAGATACACACTTGGATTAAAATTTGGGATCAGTATTTTCACAGATATATATCAAAATATAATTTCCCTTTCATCAGAAAAAAAACCACTTGATTTTAAAGGATTTCTCTTGTTACTTTATATCGAAGATTTTTTTTCGTTGAAGATCATTTTTGATTATTTCTCCATCTATAAAGTAAAAGTACCTTTATAATTAATAATCACTTATACATTGTAGCGAATGTCTTCGTCTGTATTATCTTACAATATATTCCGTAAAATGCCCGCAAATGCAAATGCATTCGAGGTAGGCAAATTTAAAGACCTCCGCTGATCGAGGTTCAAATTAAACGCTTAAATACATAAAATTTGAAAATCCTACATTGATTATTACGTGTATTCAAAACGGACAAATTTGAAAATGAAAACACTCAGAATTGAATTGAAAATCGGTATTAATTAGTGCGATTTTTATCCAGAGTTGAGCAACGCTATTCAAATTTATGCAATTTTGCACAACTGGAAGAAAGGAATGAGCGAATAATCTGATGTTTTGCACACAAGTTAATTGTATAGACTCGATCTATTCAAAAGGCATGAAAATCTAAAATATTAAAGTTCCGTCATGTCAAATATAAAACTCAGCGGAGACCCTTTAAGTCTCAGAAATGATTTTGTTTTCTTTGTGTAAAGAGTGCTAACATGTGTTTTATATAGATGTTGCAATAACGGTTTTAGAAAATGTAAAAAAAAAAACCTTATCACCTGAAGAAAATACCGTTAAATGTGAAATAATCTGTGGTAAAGTTAGCAAAATATAAATGAAGTGTAGAATTTGATTTCCGCGAAGAGCATTAGTTTCGAGTTACTAACTCGAAATTTCAA